CGGCACGATCCTCTTTTTCGTCTGACGAACTTCTCACGGCCCTACTCGACCGTTTCGCTCCCGAGGTCTTCCCCCGCGACATGGAAGCTCGAGCCGTTCTCGCTAGTGGGTCATACCGCATGCGCTCTGGCGAGAACGTCTCCTCTTACCAGTCGCGTTTTGAGGCGCTAATTACGCCCATTGCAGACTTTTCCGAAGGAGATAGAATTTTCTGGTTCCAACGCGGGCTCTCAGATGAACTCGTAGGTGAATGCGCTACCGATCGTTTAGGGATGCCGTTTTCCTCGTATAGCCATCTTTTACGCTTCGCTTTAGGTGTCGAAATGCGCCTTCTCGCCCGAAAGCAAGCCTTCCGTTCTGCTCCCCGTGCTAATGCCCTTGCCTCACAGGCCCCGGAGCTGAACCCGGTTGGCGCCCCTACTGTGGCGCTGGCACCCGTCCCTTGCGATGCTGTCGCTGTCGAGGGTCCTGAGTGCAGGGAGGGCGGCACCGTTGCCGCCCCGGGTGCCGGTAGGCCTAGGGGGGGTCGCCGGGAACAGCGCCGGTGGCAATTGAAGCAGCCTAGGAATAATCAGGGACCTTCCGAGGCTGGGCCCAGTCATCAGCCCGGGCAGAAACGCGAACGTGACGAAGACCACTGAATAGACAAGTACTGCTGTACTAGAGCAGATCTTGAAGAGTGCAGGAGGAGAAATAAGTGTTTGCGATGCGGGGAGGGCCATCAGATGGGGATCTGCCCGTTGTGCCCTAGCCAGGAGTAGGGGGCTGCCCAGGCTGTTATGAAGGGGACTCCTCCTGGGTTATAGATTCTCTTAAAGAGACCGAGTTACCGCTGTTTTCTGCTAGGCGGGCTTCCAGGGCACTGTTACCCTCCGTCTTAGCACAGGTTGAGCGAGATGCTGATGGACGAAAACTGACGATTAATGCCAGTCTCTCTCTGCTAACGACCCGGCGGGCCTACGGTTTTCTTCTCCGGTTTCATCCTCTTCTGTTTCAGAGTTGCAGATGCAGTTAACGAAGTACCACTTCTACAAACATCAGCATCCTGTCCGATTTACTTAACTCTGCTGTTACTAACTAATCCTGTTTATATCTGCTATCGGTAATTACAGGTCAAACTAATACCGATATTAGTCGATAGTCGAGTTTGCCATTCTGTTGTATCCTGTAAAGCTTTCTGCACGGTTTGGGCTCCGAATCCTAACTGTCGGTGGTTAGCTCGTCCGGTCCGATATACCAAACTTCACTGTTACTAACTAATACCCGTCAATTCCGCTGCCAGTGATTACAGGTCTAACTAATACTGATATTAGTTTACTTGCGGCTACTGTTAGCTGCGGCGGCTAAAGCGACTACTGATAGTCGTCCGCCAACTGAATGCCGCACTGCTGCGGAAGTCCATACCTGCGTATGGGCGTGTTGCGGCTACTGTTAGCTGCAGGCGGCTAAAGCGACTACTGTTAGTCGTCCGCCAACTGAATGCCGCACCGCTGCGGAAGTCCATGGGCGCCGGCGGATAAAGCGACTACTGTTAGTCGTCCGCCATTCAAGTGCCGCACTGCTGCGGAAGTCTATGGGCGACGGCGGCTAAGCGACTACTGTTAGTCGTCCGCCAACTGAATGCCGCACCGCTGCGGAAGTCCATGGGCGCCGGCGGATAAAGCGACTACTGTTAGTCGTCCGCCATTCAAGTGCCGCACCGCTGCGGAAGTCCATGGGCGCAGGCGGCTAAAGCGACTACTGTTAGTCGTCCGCCATTCAAATGCCGCACTGCTGCGGAAGTCCATACCTGCGTATGGGCGGGGGCTTTACCTGAGTAAAGCTGGGACCTGCGTCCCTGTTTCGTCTGACCGAGCGAGAGTAGTTCCTGCGAACTATGGCTTCTGGATACCGCATCGCCCAGTCGTACTGGGGACTTATCGGCGCGAGGCCCAAGTGGAGTCACTGATGACTATTTATTCAATACACTTGTCTCAATCGGTATCTTTCGATGCCCCCATTATGTGGTGGTGTTGTCTGAAGCATACTACAATGTGCACGGTTGGTTCGGTTGCTGTACAGCTTGAACTGCCCTCAGATATGTGTGTCCATCCTACCTTTCAAGTGTCTTTGGTTCGTCCATATCGTGGGTCTGTACCCGTTACGGCAGTGCCTGCCCCTCCTGCTGCCATGGAGGCCGCGCCTACTACTTGGTTGTCTGGCAAGCAAAGCATGTCTGCCGTTGAACGTTGAACGTATTTTGGACTAACGGACCCGACGCGTGGGGAAGGCTAGGCGCAAGCACACTGTTCACGAGTACTTAGTCAAGTGGGCTGGGTATTCGTCCAAACGCAATAGCTAGGAACCGACTCGCAGCTTCATACCTGATCTGAAACTGTTGCTTGATGCGGCTCTCGTCTGCAGGCTGTCTAAGGTTGCAGCGCCTTAGCTGGTATGGCCAACCTTGTTTCGCTCGGTGATCATTGTGCGACGGGGACGTCAATGACGTCACGTCACATCTGGGAGGGAGATAGTTGTTGTATCCTGTAAGCTTTCTGCAGAGCTTGCGGCGCCGAAGCCTAACTGTCGGTTGTTAGTTCGTCCAGCTGGGTTTACTTCAACTCTGTAATGAACCAAAACATGGTTATATTTGCTGAATATGAATTAAGGTCTAACTAATGCTGATATTAGTTAACCGGCGGCTTGCGAGTACTTTTGGTCGAGTTCCTCATTCGAGCACCGCACTGCTGCAGAAGTCCATACCTGCGTATGGCCTGGGGCTTTATCTGCATAAAGCTGGGACCTGCGTCCCTGGGTCGTCTGTTCCACCGAGCGAGAGTAATCCCTGTTGGATTATGGTCATCTGGCGATCGCACCGCCCAGTCTTACTGGGGAACTTATCGTCGCGAGGCCCAAGTGGATTCTACGACAGTTATTTATTAGACCACTTGTCTCATTTTGTGGTTGTCTTACAACAACACCCCTGCCTATTCACGCCTCTCAAAAGTACAGCAAATCTTTGAGGCACCGCCATAACGAGTATCCATGGATATTATATTTCAAAAATATGCTTATCATGCTTTTTGCATGAACTGACTCGAATCTTTGATCACCGGTGAAGGGGGAAACACATGATTTTGCAAATATACCTGTAAAAAACCGCAAAACCCAGGAAACCCTTATGCCACTTTTTAGTTTCTTCAATAGCAGGACCGCCATCCATATTCTTATAAACATTTGTAATGTGGCAGTCAGACTTTCGGAAGGCCGTTGGTGGCTGGATTAACGCTGAAACCCGGAGCAGTGACAAACATGATTTCGCAGGAATGTAGCACGTCGCATGTTTCGGCGCTCCCACTCTATGGGTATACCGGCACGTTTTAACCTCTGCTTAAAGGTGTCTGACACAAATTTCTGTTGTGTAGTAATAAGACGTCGGTTCTGCCAGTCATCATCAAATCGCTATGTTTCCATGACAGATCTAACATTGGTAGGGCTCGGCGGCTTGGCGGCAAGAAGGCTAAGCGGTGAGCATACTCAGGCGGCTTGGCGGCTTGGCAGCGCACGGGTTTGGAAACGGCTGCGCGGGTTGGACCCTCCGTGGGGGGTGTCTAGAAGGTAAGAGGGACGTTTGGTGTCGTGTAGCGGGTGGTTAGACAGGGTGTGTGTGTGTGTGTGTGTGTGTGTCGTGCACTGTGCCGTATGTGATCTGTGTGACTTTGAGCAATGAGGGGTCGTGATTAGCTGGCGGCTGGCAGGAAAACAAGCAGAAACAGAGGCAGATGAAAAGTGACAGCAGCAAAGAGCAGCAAAACCAAAGTACAGCAAAAGCTGAAAGTCGCAGCAGATTAGGTCAGCGCTGCCAGCCGCCAGCTACACGGTCTGCCTATTGTGGTGCATGTCCGTGTTTGTATGCACTTGCACACGCACTGTCCTTTGTAGTATGCCATTACGCAACAGCTCCGAATGCATCCAGAATGGGCCTGCTTCGCCCCCTCCTGCCGCCCACACGTACGTGATGCTGCAACATGGACGTGCTGGTCATGTACGGCAGCTGGGGTTCGGCGTTAGGGTTTTCTCAGTGACCCCCGTGACGTAGCCGAAAAGAGCTCATGCGTGTATTACTGCTTTTCAGTACGCCCCATGGGGGGCAGCTGTGGGTTCGATCCCCACGGTGACCGAACGGGCAAGTGCGGGTCATGTGGCCTGGTGTGTGGAGGGAGGGTTATCTTGCGGTTGACTAGGCCCCGCGACACTGGAAACACACGGCAGAGGCCCGCATGCCTTGTTCTGCTCATGGAGCTGGGTGTGTGATGTGTAGTACGACCACCACATCTTCACCCTAGCGTGGGTCAGGGCATCCTTCACCGCGATGGTGTGTGTGAGGTAAAGCGTACCGCCCAGAGTTGCCAATGCTTTCCGACTCGTTGGCAAGGTGTGGGTCCCAACCCCCATGACAGTTCGCCTGGGCAGTCCCCAGGATTGGCACGCGGGGCAGCACGTCGAAGGAGATCTTGGCCCCCGGGCGGGAGGCCTGTAGTGTCTCCTCCAAAATGCTCGCGGTCGTGGCAACGCGTTCCTCGGGCACCTCGAGGAGAAGCCTCCTGTCCTGGTGGAACATAATGGGTTCCGGCTGTGGTCATGCGCGGGCTGCCATTTCCTGCCGTTCGCGTATCATTTGTACGTCCCGTTCTTGTGCTTTGGAGAGAAATCCTTTGTTCTATTTGGAGTTTTTTTGTTTTGTCATACATGCAGTCACTGCAGCAACGCTGGGCTATACTTGCGGGGCTATACTTGCGCCAGGCGCAAGCACAGGCCCTGTGCTTCGCTGAAGCTGGGCTGTTTTAAAGAGCTGTGGTAGCTCAGGTATGTTAAAATTGCGTTTTGCCAGTCCATGCGTCTTTAGAGACGACAGAATGTGCACATGCTAATGCTCCGAAGTGCAACATAACGGTTGACAGACGTACGATGAGACTTACGAAGGTACACCTCAGCTGGTGAAGTCAGGCCAAAGACTCGAATGACCTTGTGCAACGTCCAGTAGTATAGGGGCACGTCGGGCTTTCGGACTCAGATATTACACAAGTATTGGATTCCGAGACTGCATTCCGAGCCTCTTGCGTCTGAAACCGTCAGCGTTCCCAAACATCATGGCAGCCAACACGATTCTCAAGGGCAAAGCGGCCCTTGTTACTGGATCGACGCAAGGAATTGGTCTGGCGATGCTCAAAGCGCTCGCGTCAGCTGGTTGTAACGTGACTATGCATGGGATACCAAATGACATGGAGAAGATTCAGAGATTGTGTAAACAGATTGCCAAGGATAACAGTGTAGAAGTTACATACTCCGACGCGAACCTGCTAAACCCCGGGCAAATTCGCGACATGGTGCGGGAAAGTCACTCAGCCTTCGGCAGGTGCGTTGCCGATGCGCAACTTCGCGTCACTCACGTCGTTACCATCTCTCTGCGCTGGGCTGCGGCATGCCCTCCAGCTTTCTTAAGCTGAACCCTGTCAGCTGACGCGACATCATGCTCGTCCAAGCGTGCACTTCCCTTACAGCACTTGCTTCTAATCCTTTTTTCTATCTTGTTGCTGCCATATGTTTTGATTGTCGCCTTAATGGGCTGCAAAATCCATTACAAAACAAGAATTTTCACCGTACTGTTGCACTGCAGACTCGACATTCTCGTGAACAACGCCGGCATCCAGCACGTTGCGCCCGTACATGAACTGCCCGACGACAAGTGGGATGCTATCATCGGCGTGTGCCTGTCTGCAACTTTCCACGCCACCAAGGCCGCGCTCCCGTACATGCTTGAGCAGGTACGGTGCCGCCACAAACATACACGTTGACATCAGCACACGCACTCGGACACTACAAGTCGGAGCACAGGTGACTTTTACTCTGCCCTTAAAATTTGCCTCAAGAGCATCCATTCGTTATTTTAGGAGCTTGTTACTCTTATCACAGCCTCCTTCGTCCTGACGTGTTCTGGGTCCCTGTCACGTTCTCTGTGGCCCCAGCCAGTACCACTGTGTCCACGTCGTAGTGAAACCCGCCCGACCGTCTCGTGCTCTTCCCTGCGTGTTTCCCCCCCTCCCCCTGGTCCCCACTTCCCAATGCATCTTCCGGCGGGCCCCTGGCGTCCTCAGGGCTGGGGCCGCATCATTAACACTGGCTCCATGCACGCGCTGGTGGCGTCGCCCTTCAAGTCCGCTTACAACGCAGCCAAGCATGGCGTGGCTGGCTTTACCAAGACGGTGGCGCTGGAGGTGGCCACAAAGAATGTGACAGTAAACGCCATATGCCCCGGTTACACCGACACGGACCTGGTGCGGAACCAGGTACGGCAACTGTACGAAGGTGCATCCTTGTACTGCTTGCACAAACGCCCCTTTCCTAACATTCGGGTTTCCTAAAACCCTAAAACCTTAAAACCCTTCGCCGACCCAGATCGCCGACACTGCTCGCATCCGCGGTATCCCAGTGGAGAGCGTCATTCGGGATGTGCTGCTCGCAGACCAACCCTCAAAAAAGTTTGTCAAACCCGAGGTTAGACGGGGGAAGGCGACATGGGGGTTTTACGGGTTTTACGGGTTTTAGGGTTCTAGGACGGGTTGCGGTTTTACGGTTTTAGAAAAGGACACTGGGAGGTGTCCATGTGGGTGGCACCTCCGCTCGTCCCTCGTGATCTAGCTGCTCCTCACTACACCCCGTTATACTCTATTCCCCTCCCCCACCCCCCCTTCCCCCGCCCCCTCCACCTCCCTCCCAGGACATTGGCGCCCTTGTGGTGCACCTGTGTGGGCCCCACTCGGACTCGTTCACGGGTGCTTGTCTGTCCATTGACGGCGGCTGGGTGGCCCGCTAAGGAAGCAGCAGAGCGCCTTCAAGGAGTATGGGACGGTAGTGGCAGGGGGTGGCTATCTGGGCTATGTGGCTGTCTTAGCTGGGGGGTGTTATGTAACTGGTGGTGTGAGGCTGAGGCTGTGTAGGACGGCGAGCGCCATGGTGAGGCGGTGATGGTGCTGTTGGTGCGGCGGCTGCGATGGCCGCAGTGGCTGACTGCTGTCATTACTGTTGCAGCTGCTGCTGCTGCTGCACTGCCATGTGAAGGTGTCTAGTGTCCCATGCTGTACGGGAGCTTATACGAGACGGTGTTGCTTGAATGTGGTAATGGGAGTCAGGAGAGGGGCCCGGAGGCGGCCCAACGTTGAGCGGCGAGGATGAGGTTCCCCGTGGGGCGTTTCGGGGGTGCACCGGTTCGTGTTTACTGGAGAGGCTTTGGCAGGAAGGCCTGCCTGGAGCGGAAGGGCATCGACCCGCGTGCAATGCAGCGGTGGCGCCGTAAACCTCCTTTTTCATACGAAGATGGCGATAAACGTTATCCATATGCAATAAAGGATTACCATGTGCTGGCTTTCGGGCGTAATGCAAGGTGTTAAACATGCTAAACTGGCTTGCATGAAATGTACAGCAGGAGCAGGTACCACAACGCGGGACAGGGGATAGAGCCAACTAGTTAGGAGAAAGAAAAACAAGAATTTTACAGGAGCTTCGGAACATCGTGCAGTCTCATGTTTTTTTAACTTGTTATACTATACGAAATATTGTAAACACCTTTAGGTCGTGTGCTGATTTGGTTGTGATGTGTCGGTTGGTACGGAGCGAATTCAGCTATGTCCGCATCTCTTATCTGCAATTTCAGAGCTACAGACGCCCGACACAGCCGCTGCGTAAAATGGGGCTTTACCAGTTAGTGGCGGCAGTAGCGACAGCAGCTGTGGCTGCTAAAGAAGCCGCTGAACGTTGCAATCCGGCGCCGCCGCGGCTGCTGCGCTACCACGGCCTCTGCCGTATCCGCAGGCGCTGTTGTAGCTGTTCCCGTGCTCGCTTCTGTTGTTGTTGTTCCCGCCGCTCATGGTGCTATTGCTGTTGCTGTTAGCCCCCTCACACATTGCCGCGCCTGATTCCTTTTCCCCCATGGCCGTTCCCGCACCACCCCCCGCATCGCCATTCCTAATCGCCGTTCTCATGCCCAATAATGTTAGGAGGTGGGAACGAAAGCGATAAATGCATGGATCAACGGATGGATGGATATTACAGGTGTCTCGCAAGCTTGCTTGAGGTTGTATGGTCCAAACGAACTTATCCGAAGCAATGCTCATGATGAACCGGATATATAATACAAAACATACACGCACCTGGGGTGTACCGATATACACAGTTTCACACACCGACGATACCGTACAGTGTCATGTTGCTTATATATGTTGAAAGCAACCAATAAACTAGGAAGTGTAAGCGAATGCATGTATGTGCGGTGGTGCGGTTCGTCGCACGATGGCGGACTAGTGCTTCGGCCGTCGCGCCGTCCACGACGGTGTGCAACTGGCCAGTTGGCTAGGAGGCTTCATGCATAGTTGAAACGGCCTTTGCAGACGCTGTGCATCGAGATCATCCATACGCCAGTGTGTGTGTATGGTTGTTACGCCAATGATAGTGATAGCAGTCTCCACACGAACTATAAACCGCAATGCAGACGAAGAAGTGTAATAATATAACCATGCTCGAACAAGTTCCAGTCAACGCGACACCAGCAGCTATAAATCCACGAAGTTTCACTCCATGCTTATGCGTGGATGAATAGTTGGTTAGGGCATTATTAATTATAACGTCGAAGGCTGTCATAAGCGCTCATACCTACAGCAGTGGTAAGCACCGGCGAGTGCGCTGAAGTAGACAGTGCCGCCAGCTTCATGATTAGAGACATCTTGGCTCAGGAAAACCACGGCATTGCCGATGATGATAGTTGATCAGGAGGCATACTGAGAGGTCGTAGTGGTAGTGGTTACGGCAGGTGGTGACGGTGCAACATCATCGTCGAAAGCGAAGGTAATGCAACTGTACCGGTCACGCTTTACCCAGACGTCCAGAGGATCCAGAACATAAGAATGCTTGCAATATTAGTCTGTTGGCTGTGCTTCAGATGCCGCGGGAGCAATGACGTGATGCAGTACACAGGCTTCGGAGCGTGGCTGATGCGACGCTCCTGGGGCGATGCAAAGTTAGAATCTAACACATCGTGTTATCTGGTGTCTTGAGTTGTCCTTATACAAGAGTGACTCACATGCTAAGCAGAGGAAAAGGACGGCATATTTCGTAGTAGCGTGTAGTAGTGTACTTGCTTGTATTAATGCATTTTGTAGTAGCAAGGTAAGAAATAAACTCAAAGCACGCTAGTTATACGGCTCTGAGGACACATGATGCTCCGAACCAAGTAAATGCCTGCATCTCCCGGGGGCCTTACGCCAACTAACCTGGCGCAAGCCAGCAGTAGCGAGGTATCGTTTCTTCACTAATGGTCAAGCCTTGCATCGCCCATGCATCTATTAACTATTAGCTTATTCTTGATATAGAAGTTGAATCGTGATCGCTTATCGTAGCATATAACCGGTCTTCCCGCTGTTGGCATACCAAGCATAGCTCTTTACAGCAGAACGCTATAGGTAGCTCCTCATACCTAAAAACCTCTTGCTTTGCGAGATCGTCCATTTCGGCCGTAACGTAAAGCCTAGACGTCAACGGCCTGGCTTTTTGGGCAAGGTCAACCCAGCGAAGGGGTGGCTTGAAGTCATCTTCTGTGTAAGGCTATATACATCAGCTCCATGGATTCCAGGAGCTACCTCATAAGTGCAGAGGCACGCAGCCAGGCTTTGCTGGCCCATGACGACTCCCAAAGCCACCTGCGTATCCCAATTATTGATGACAGCCACAATGGTGCAACTAAGTCAAAACGTAACTTCTGTCGCGCCATGTTGGCTTGGCCGCGACGAGTGGTGGTCGCTATCGGCCATGCCCTTGGCTTAGGTGAGCTTGCTGGGCATGCCGCTCCACGGCGCTGCAGCACGGTACACTCGCAAATGACCACGGAGGCTATACATTCACAGATAGGAATGAATAAAATGCATCTAATGAAAAGAGTTTATTAAGGTTAAGGGCGGATGGCCGCAGGGTTTAGTACATTGCAGTCGCATGCATAACGGCAACGCGTCACTTCAACTCTCCGGTGCTGTCTCAGCCCCGTTCTGCTCCTCAGGAGCGTAGGAATCCTGCAAGCACACACGCTCCGAAACCATACACATCCTGTCGTTTCCTTGCAGATAGAGCTCTTCCTAAGTCGGCACCGGATCTGTGAGCCCGTCTGCGAACCCGCACGAAAACACACTGCTTTTTGCTGCTTGTCACAGATGGTTTCTCTTCCGTTCTCGCGATTCATTTGGCGAATCCGCTTCGCTTGCCTCGTTTGCGCCTTCCTGCCATTCAGTTTTCAAATTGTTGTTCTTGATCATCGCGCTGGTGCTGTACGCGCTGCTGCTGATGCCGGGCTTCATCAGAGTGGGTGGGGTGACACGACAGAACACGACACGAAACGACACCTCGTGGGCCGTTGTATTCCACATCTCTTCCCCCCTTCTTGCGCAAGCGCACACCAGCAGAGAGGATTCCCGGTCGATTTCGATGGCCCTGCTTGTGGGGCCCTTTAGGAACCCCAGTACGGCAGCAGTACGGAATGCAGTACTGGCTACATTAGCCGTCGGTAGTTGACTTGACGGTTTGCTTGCGGCACATGTTTCGTCCCTCCTCTCTTTTCTCCTTTCCCCCTCCCCCCCCTCCGTACCACACAACACTCAACACCAGCAACAATTTCCGGCCGCAGATGATCGTGTACTACTTCTTCAGTCCCGACGTGGTTCGCGGCGTCATGTACGGATCTAAGGTATACACACGCGAACTCTCATTGCTTGTTGCCTGTTGTGGACATCTCGGTCTGTCCGTCCGTCCGTAATATGTGGCCTAAATAGGCTATATGCCCGGTACGGAGCACCTCAAACGTCAGCGGTGTCGCGCACCCGCTAACTAAAAGCAGCTGGTTTTACTTGGGCTCCTACTTGTCCTTGCACACACACGCACACGCACACGCACACACACACACTCTCTCTCTTTGGTAAAGTAATTCGGTAAAGTAATTCGTGTACCCCCATCAGCATTTCCCTCGGCGCGGCGCAGACCAATCAAACGCACACTGGGTTTTACACCAGGGACACAGCATTAGGGCGCTGCATTAGGAGAACAGGAAGGGCAGCTTGCCGAGAGCATCTTTCGATGCTGGTTGCGGTCTGGCTGCAGTCTCCTAGCATAGCGTTTGAGGCTGTGGGCCTTTCCTTTCTTTCTTCCTCCGTATACCCACACCGCTCTGTGCAAATACCCCTACACGGTATCCGGCGGTTCAGGCTCTGTGTGGAGCAGGAGAGGGGACAGTGGCCCCTCACCCCCCTCCCTTCACCCCCCTTCACCACCCCTCCCTTTCCCCCACGGGGGGAGGGAGTGTGCTTGTCGGTTGTCTTGTTCGTTGGGGCTGGGCCTCAGGCCCGGCGTTGTTTCAGCGTCAGGCTCGGCAAGATGTGGAATTAACACGCATACACACATACACGCATTCGTCCGTTGCGGTTTCCTCGGTCCGCGGGCCCTGACCTAAGAACCATGTCCTTGTCCTAGTCCCTCCTAGGCCCACATCGCTATCGCCCACGTCGCTGCTGCCCCCCCCCTTCCTGAGATACGTTCCAGCCCCGGCAGCGGCTGGATCTGTACTTCCCCCGGCATGCCCGTGATGACGTCACCTACCCGGTAGTTGTGTACGTCACAGGTGCGCCACGACCTCACTTCCGGACTTAGGCCGCAGTTGTCCTCTTTGGCTTTTGCATCATCATCATCATCATCATCATCATCATCATCATCATCATCATCATTATGATCATCATTGTCATCATCACCTTTATCGCAACAACCATCATCATCACTATCATCATGACTATAATCATCACCATCATCACCACCTTCATCATCATCACCTTCATCGTCATCACCTTCATCGTCATCACCTTCATATGATTCCTGCCCCCCTGGGTTCCTCGGACCCCGGGATTATCCCCAAGTGCTCCTAATAAGTCCCAATTGGGGGCATCGATCCCAGTACTCCGTATTCCGTACCTCCTACCCCTATCCCGTACGGCACCCGGCGATCGGTGCGCCGCTTTCCCCCCAGGTGGCGCCTGGACCATTGGTTACAAGGCCTGGGGAGCGCTCCTTGCCCGGCGGCTGAGCGAGCAGGGCGTGTTGGTGGCATGTCTGGATTACCGCAACTTCCCACAGGTAGGGGGGGAGGGAATGGGAGGGTGCCGAGGGGGGATGAAATGGAAAGGAGGGAAGGGTGGGTGCTGAGCAGGAAAAGCTATGGGCGGGTCAGGGTCTCTCCCTCCCATATTTCCAATCCCCGGAGCTCATTAAAGGGGAACGCGGGGCCGCGCTTGCAGGGTGACGCGCTGGACATGTTGGAGGATGTCAACACCGGCATCAGCTGGGTGCTATCCCGCATCCACCGATTCGGGGGGGACCCGGACAGCGTCACGTTGGTGGGCCAGTCGGCGGGCGGCCACCTGGCGGGGCTGGCGCTCATCAAGCAGGTGGGCAAGGGAGAAACAGGGGGGGGGGTAAACATGGGACCGGCTAGTTCGGGGCCCAGTAGAGGGCCTGGAGGGGCAGGAAGGGCCTGGAGGGGCAGGAAGGGCCTGGAGGGGCAGGAAGGGCCTGGAGGGGCAGGAAGGGCCTGGAGGGGCAGGAAGGGCCTGGAGGGACAGGAAGGGCCTGGAGGGGCAGGAAGGGCCTGGAGGGGCAGGAAGGGCCTGGAGGGGCAGGAAGGGCCTGGAGGGGCAGGAAGGGCCTGGAGGGGCAGGAAGGGCCTGGAGGGGCAGGAAGGGCCTGGAGGGACAGGAAGGGCCTGGAGGGGCAGGAAGGGCCTGGAGGGACAGGAAGGGCCTGGAGGGGCAGGGGTTTGCAGCGTATAGCCTCGTAGGTCTTCGAGGTGCCGGAGGGACAAGTAGTTGGAGCCCTCGGTGGGTCACGGGGCGAAGGCGGCCGAGGGGCCGCAAGGGGCCAGTGGGATGCCCAAAGCGCGCGGGTTCATCAGATCCTCCCATCCCAACAAATCCCCCTCCTCCCCACCTTGCCAACTTTTACGACTCTTTTGTACGATTCTGTGGCGGGCTGCTTGGGAGGAGCAGGCGGAGCAGGCAGCAGCGGCGGCGGTGGGGTCCCCCCGGGCTCGCGCCGTGCTGGGCGCCTCTCCCGCCTGGCACCCAGGTCGCCTGGCGGCCTTTGTGGGCGTCTCGGGTGCATTCGACCTAGTGGGCCTGGCCGCCCACCGGGGGGGTCACTTCCGGGGGCTGCTGGACCGCATCTTGGCGCTGGAGGAGGAGGAGGGGGAGGAGGAGGCGGGGGAGGGGGAGGAAGGACGGGAGCGGCAGCAGGAGGGAGGGGGAGGGAGGGAGCACCCCAAGGTGCAGAAGGAAGGGGGGGAGGAGGAGGGGGCCGCGGGGAATGACAAGGAGGAGGAGGCGGAGGGGCCCCAGGGCAGCCCGAGGGTGAGGGCGCCCGAGAGACATCCGCAGCAACTTCCGGCGGGGGATGTGGGGGTGGGTGGGGGAGGACATGGCGCTGGTGTGCTGCCGCAGTCGCAGGTGCAGCCGCACGTGCAGGGGGAGCCATCGCAGCCATCCCGACCACCCTCGCTGCCGCCATCCTCCTCGAGGCCGAAGCGGAAGAAGCGCCCCGCGTACGACACGTTGTCGCCGCTGCAGGCCGCCCGTCGGCTGCCTCCGGGCGCCGCGGGCATGTTGCCGTACGTACTGTTGATCCACGGTACGGCAGACAAGACGGTGCCGGCGGAGGGCAGTGCGCAGCTGTGCGAGGCGCTGCAGGTGAGGGTTGTTTGTATGTATATATGTGTGTGGCGGAGGGAAAGAGAGGGGGGTCCTGCCGTGGTTTCGGAGGGTCATGTTTTGCCCGGGGCAACACGATGTGACTCAAAGAGGCAGCTGACATCGGAGGCCCCGCGATCTATCAGGTTGGGTTGGGTTAGTTGCTTCCCACCCCTCCCATTCTCTCGGGCTTTACCTCATTCGCCCCTACCTCCCCTCCCCTCCTCTCTCCCCTCTTTCCCCTTTCCCCCCCCCCGTTTTCGCCCTCGTGCAGTCCTCTGGCGCCCCCAGCTGCCGCTGCCTGCTCATCCCCGGCAAGACCCACACAGCCTTCCTGTTGGAGGACCCCATGCGGGGGGGCAGGGACCTGCTCATGGACACAGTCCTGGGGGCGGTCAAGGGGAGCGGGGACTCGGCAGCGGGGGAGGGGGACCTGGAGGACGGCCGCGGCGGGGGAAGTGGCAGAGGGATCGGAGGGGGTGATGGAGACCGCGGCGGCGCTGGCACGACCGGGGTCGAGAGCGGCCGCATGTACAGCAGTCTATGCCCAGCGTTCCTCTGCAATTTGGCGGGCAGGGTGTGCCCGTTTTGATGATATAGATAACTGAGCAACAGCGAGGTGTAGTTCGGCTCGGCTTGTTGGGCCCTGACGTGGCGATTAGGTTGCGCAATCCTGTCAACAATGTCATCTGGTATTTTTGGATGGGCATTAAATTATATACAAAAATTATATTTTGGAAGCTTATTCAACGGCTGCAGCTCCACGACAATTGGATACGGTCGATATTGAGAGGTGATTACCTTCAGTTTTTTTCCCCTTTTTTGCCATATTAGCCTTTATTTACAAGAAGGTACCCGATGTGCGATGGTATCGGCGGCAAGTTCATACAGGTATAGATCACTGCGGGGGATTAACTCGAATGCGCCGTGACAGTGTTGTATTAGGATATTAGATAGCTTACAGGTGCAGCAGGAAGTACTGTGTACGGCAGGGTTTGTACGACTTACGCTGCCTGCCATTCCGTACACGGTCCCAGGCTGAAGGACGCGATCTTTGGCTGAAATTGCGCTGAAAAGGGGCCTAAATTACAATTGGCCCCCTCCCGCCCGGTTTGGAATCATCGCATCTCATTATCACGTACAACACCACACCACACCACAACGGGGGCAACGCGCAGTTGATATATCTCAATAGATATTGAGGTTTTGCACGCGTGCCGTGTGTGTATGTATGTATGTATGTCTTTCGACCTCCAAACAATGCCCTGTGGCGCAGTTTTTCAACTGGTGAAAGGAAGCATAATACCGTACGGGCAGCAGCATACCCGTGACTTGCGCAGCATTGGCTGCTAAGACGGCTTTGGGGAACAGGCCAGGATCTGGATCTGCGACCATTTGAGGTTCATTCGTGCCTTCGGTGTTGATTGAGATCGAGGGGGAAGTCGAGTTAGGGGGACGAGGGAGGTGAGCGGCATTGCGCTGTGGCTGCAGTGGCTGCAGCTCATGTTCCTCACACGAATTGCTGCTCAACGGTCATCTAGCTGACCGGCAAATGAGTCATGCAGAGGCCTTATTACTGCTCAAGCAGTGCAACGGCGCATCCGATTCCCCGGATGGAAGCGCTGTGAGGTCATCAACCGCGTTTGTAACAAGGTGGTATGGCAGCTGGGTGGTGCCACAGGCCCGATCACGATTATGTACATGATACCGAAAGCACAAAGCACGAGTCACATACATACAGCGCGCATACATACATACATACATACGTAAATGACAATAAGCTGCGCCTGCAAGGCATGCGGCGAAAACCAAACCAGTCTTCGCACCGTTGCTGTCCCAATCCGCGATCCCCCCCTCCCCTTCGCCCCTTCGGCTCCCCAGCAGCACCTGTCGCAACAAGCAACCAGAGCACGCCGTCTTGGTTTCAACACCTCTCTCTCTCTCTCTCTCTCTCTCTCTCTCTCTTTCCCCGTCCCCTCTCCCCCTCCCCACACATCGGATACCCTCTGTCGGTATTTTGGAACTCCCCTCCTCCTAGCCACCGCTCCAGTAACAGCACTTCCAACCTGGACCTCTTTCTATTACAACTACCGCGCTACCCCCCTTCACGTCCCCTCACGGCACGTCCCACCAGTAAACACCGTCCCCGTCCCACCAGTAAACACGGGCTGCTAGAAACAAAGTACGGGCTAGAAGACTCCAACCCCCGCCACCACCAGTCTCCACTACTTTCAAACTTTCGACAGACTTCATAGGCACACGATGGCTTTGATGGCTTAATAATATTATGAAAATATAACAGCAACACATATAGCACACACAGAGCGCTTTATCCGAATAGGTGGATAGGATACAGCTAGCTAGAAGGGGCCTATGCACAGGGGCTATTATTTACCGAGAGCTCATTGGGGTATTTAGCTCCATCCGAATCTGATACCCACGTGTGCGTGTGTGGATTAATTTGAACCGCGTGTGTATGTATGTATGATGTCTGGAACAGGGGTGTATATCTTCTCACCCCTGCGGCCGCTACCCTGCGAAACCCTGCCTTCCCCGGTATTTCGGGGCACCCTCATCTAGTCACCCTAGTCAACTTCTCAGTGGAGGATCGCTCAGGTTCCGCACGTGTGTATGTATGTGTGTATGTATGTATGTATGTGTGCCACACAGGCAGGGAGGCCTTCCTGAAGGGTAAGTCGTCCCGTCCAATCCGTCATCCAAGGTCAAGGAAACTCTACAAAGTCTACAAATCTGGCCTTCACTTGCACCCCCCCCCCCGGTGTGCCCCTTGTGTCCAGCTCCAGCTACCAGAATGGAAACCAACACACCATCACAAACCGCAGCGGGTACCTCGTACCTCCCCCACCCGCACACCCGCACACCGGACCAAATTAATAAACTGAACAAGCTAATAACAAACTGGGCTAACAGGCCACGAAGGGAAGAGCCACCTAGAGAAACGCAGGCGGACCGGGGCATGTATGTCCTAGAGGGTCTAGGTGGCAGGACTCTGCCAAACCGCCTTCTGCCATACGGCGTAATGAACTTTCAATAGATATGTATGTATAGTCCATGGCCCCGCGCAGGGGCTTTGACGGACACCATCGCATTCGTGCAGAAAACTTGTAACTTTTGCAACTTTGTTAGGAACATAATAACACGTCCGTCACGTTAATATGATGACATCCGAATCTCACGGCCCACGTGTTCCGGCCCCCGCCCCCAGAGTAATGAATCCGTCGCGCCGGGGGAAATATGAGTCCGTCGCGCGCGAGCCCCCAAAGGTTGGCAGCACTGGTGCGAGGTGTAGAGGTCTCAGCTCCATGGGAAATAATTCCATGATGATGATGGACACGCAAATGGGGAGGGGTGCAGCGCCTCTCTCTCCCCAAACCATCGCACACATCCCCCCGACACCCTCTCAAGAGTACTTTCAGCATTCAGCAGCAGCGTGTAAATAGCGAAGCTAGCAGAGCAGAGCAGCCACAGCGGCCCCCCCCCCCTTCTCTCTTTCTCTCCTGCGGGAGCACCACCACCAGCACCACCAGCACCACCACCCCCGGCCGCAGCACAGGCGTTGCGGCACACCTACATATACGAGTTATGCACGCGAGTACAAACATAGAACGCCCGGCCCTCCGCCCCCCCCCCGCGGCGGCACAACCACCCGGCGCGACTAGAACACATCTCCCCCATGCAGAGTGCACAGAGCGACATACATACATACATACATGCGCATGGGAATGAAAAAGGACACGCAAACACCCACACACACAGAGACAGATATACGCGCGCATGCACACACACGGAAACGCCAGTCCCGGAATGCTGGGAACAACCGCTGATGTGCTAATACCACAGGTTCACATCCATTTTTGCACTTCGCAATCCCTTATTAGGCTTGCAAGTAAATATTCTGGTTCTGCGATTTTAGCTCACACGAAACAGTCATCAGTTCCTCACACGCCCCATCCCGCCCAGGAGAAAAGTCAACATGTCCGTGACCTCCCCTTTCCCCCAACCCCACCCCACCTCGCGAGGTGCACGAGGACTCGCTCCCTAATAGGCCACCGCGCTGCACGGCCGCGCGGCACGTTGGGTCCCGTAACCAATTTCATGTTTAATAAATATATATTCCATTCTAAATAGTTCATTTTTGAGCACCCCAAGGGAAATGCGTCAGTTCCCCGCGCGAAACACAACACAGGGAGGCCAACGAGGTGTCTCCGTTTGCGATGAGAGCTTCGTCAAGTGGACTCAGTCATCATCATCGTCCCAGTCCTCCTCCACCCAATTGTTATCGTCAGGCTTGGCGTTCGGGTCGTGAACGACGTTGGAGCGGTACGGCGCAGCCCCGCCGCTGCCGAGATCCAGCTTCTGGCGCCCGCCGGCAGGCCCGGCAGCACCGGTGCCTTTCGTTGCCGGCGGCGGTGGCGGCGGCGGCACCAGGGAGCCCTCCTGCGAAATCCTGCCGACGCGTGACCGAGCTACGGCGGGCCCTCCCGCCGCCGGCTGTTTGGGTGCCGAAGGTGGCGGCCTGGCAATACCTGTTGCCGGTGCATGCGGCGCCGCGCTGGGTGTCGTCGGTCGAGCCGCCGCCGCCGCTGCTGCTGCTGCTGCCGGCGCGGAGGGCGGCGGGCCTGGAATTCTTCGCTGGGGGGGATGCGGGGCCGCCGCCTTCGTCGGCGCCTCCCGAGGTGACGGCGCCGTCGGTGGCGGCGCCGGCACCGCCCGGCCTTGCGGCCTACGAGGCTGCGGCTCCTCCTCCTCAGAGTCCCAGTTCTCTTCCAAATGGTCCGTCCCTGCGGCGTGTTTAGCCAGGACCGCCTCCTTATCGTCGTCATCGTCGTCGTCCTGTGCCGGTGGCGGCGGCGGCGCCGCCTTGCCCCTGGCAGGCGCGCTGCTGACGGTGGCCGCAGAGGCTGCTGAACCTGCTGAAGGCTGTCTCGCCCTCGCGCCTCCACCTCCTCCGCGATCAGTGCTCGTCCGCACTGATGATGACGATGATGCCGGCGCACCGCCTCGGGGGGCCTTATCATCCATTGACACGCGCCGCGAACCCCCCAAGCCGCCACCCCCCTCTGCCGCGCCGCCGTTGCCGATACTGTCGCGCACGCCAGCGGGGCGCCTGCCGCTCGATGCTGGTGGGGGTGCGGGACCTGAGCCCGAGGTGTGCAGGCCCCCCGGCCGAGCTGTCGCAGAGGCCCCAGCCCCCGGACGCTTCTTGTGCTCCTCCTCGTCGTCATCCGCATCGTCGTCGCTGCTATCCCAGTCATCGTCCTCCCACTCCTCCCGAGGGCCCTCTGTCGGAACCGGGCCGCTAGCGCCGCCGCTACTCGTACGCTGCCGACCCCCACCAGGTGGCGTACTTCCTCGGCTGCCGGGTAGTGGGGCAGGCGGACCCCCCAGGGAGAGCTTCTCTGCGTTTTCGCGCGAGGGAGCCCTTGCTGGCGGGGCCGGCGGCGGCGAAGCCGCCGCCGCCGCTGGCCCGGCGGCAGCTGCCGGCCGGCCTGAACCCCCGAGCTGTAGCTTCTCCCCGCGTGGTGGCGGCGGCGGTGGCACGCCAGCTCCGGAACCTCGGGCAGCAGCGCCAGTGGCGCCCTTAGCACCGCCGGGTTCCTGTTTCGCATTCAGCATGAGACGCTCAGTGGCAGGTGGCGGCGGAGGCGGCGCCGCTGCTGCTGTAATACTGGCGGCAGCCTTGCCGTTGGTGCCATGAAGGCGGGCCGGCTGTTTTTGCTGCTGTTGGGCTTCCTCCTCGTCCTCTGTTCAAGAGCGCACACGAAGGAATCAGGGGACCACCGGCACGACCCACGGGTCAGTCAAAAGGGCATCAGAGGAAAATCGCACGGATGGCAGCCTAGACAGAGATAAGAGATAGCGCTTCAGACCAGAGACTACGATGCCACACCTCGCCGGGCTGCAGCGTCCACCGCGTGTTTGCTGTCTCCCACCCCCTTTCGTAATTCACTTTCCGGCGACGACTTGCCGAAGGCGGTTGTGCACACGTCCCCATGTCCACCACGTGCTTTTTGTGGTACAGTACACCTCCCATGAAGTCCTCCGGCACCTCCTTCCGTCCGCTTCCTTCAACTCCCTTCCGCTCACCGCTCAACCATACTTTCGCCTCATCGTCCCCCTTTCTCCCCCCCTCGGGCCCACCCCGGGGCCCCCAACCGGAAAAAGGTGTACACCTTTTCCGCCTCCTCCTGCTGTTGCTGCTACTGCGCTGCTGGCCCCCTCACCTCACCTTCATCTTGCCAGCGGCTGCGCGGCTTGGCCGCCGCCTGCGGCCGCCGCTGCCGTTCCCGCTCCTCCTCCTCTTCTTCCTCCTCCTCTTCGCGCTGCATGATGTTGTTGTTATTTTGGCGGGAGGGGGTTGCGATCATCATCGTTCCCATACGCGGATTAGCCAGTAGGGACCTGCAGGGGTGGGTGGGGGGCAATGCATACGGTAGTACAACCGCACGGTCACATCATCCCAGGTCACAAGGCACAACACAAGACAAGAAGGGTAAAGGAGAACAAGGGCGACACCGGAAAACCCCGCATGAAAACCGCGGGGGCTATAGATGGCCCACAAAAACACTGAAGCTGGATAGATAATCTCCGGCACCTCAGGCTACCGTCTTCGTGCTCACTCTACAAGCCTCCATCCACCGCCAAAAACACTGCGTCCTCTTGCCCTCGGTTTGTGCCTGGGTGCCTGCAGAACGTCGTCCTGACTCCTGTTACCGGGCCTTACCGGGGGGACGGCGGCCTGTTGTTGTTGTTGTTGGCCGATGGCGGCGGCGGCGCCATGTTGGGCTGCTGGGCGGCGACATCTAGCGGGATCAGCGGCAGGTCCGCTGGCTTCTTGGCGGCTGCCGTAGTGGTCTTAAACGGCGGGTCGTCGTCACTGTCCTCCTCGAGTGCTGTCAGTATCTGTTGTTTGGTGTGCTCCTGGGGGGGAAAGGGGGGGAAACGAGAGGGGTGGGAATGGGTGAGGAGGTGAGGAGGGGGTTAGGAGGCAGGGGGAGAAGAAGAAGAAGAAGAAGAAGGCATAGATGGGCCCCGGGATAGGACTCATGGGGTAAAGGGTGCGGGGAAAGGGGATGGGCCCGGAGAGGCCGTAACTAGGTAGCTGGTACGAAGGGACGGAAGGCACATGGGGCAGCATGGCCTGGTGCGAGGTCCAGGGGTTGTGGAGTGGTGTGGGGGTGGGTGGGTGGGATAAGCGGAGGTCAAGGCCTTGCCTTGAGGGTCTCAAGCTGCTTGGCTTGCGGCGTGTTGTTACCGTCAAGCTTCTTTTGCCGAGCGTCCTTAACGGCCTCATACCATCGATCATGCTCTTTGGCAGATTCCGCCTTGACACGCAGCACGCGTTCCGGGAATTTCATCTGTGCAGGGACGCAAAGGGGTTGGAGTGGGGGGTTGGCCTCACACTTGTACATCCGCCCATGGCCGACAAGTTAGGCCACAAGAGTGCGCAACGCCACGGTTTAGTTCCATAGCTGGGAAGCCGGCATCGCATTTGTGTCATATCGCAAGCAATAAGCACCTCACCGTCCATTACCGTGACCCTGATGCCACGTGTGACGAAGTGTGGTTCCCCTTTTTTTCTCACCTCAAGCTTACACTCTTCCAGCTTTTTAATGTACTTAAGCTCATGTATGGCGAACACCTCGATGTCGCCACCGCCATCCTTCAATTCTCGGGGGTCTTTGGCGTAAGCCAAAGTATCAGCTGTCAATTCAAAGTACCGCCGCTGATACTTGCTCGCCTGGATAAGGCCGTTCGCTTAGTCTACATCTCTTCCTTATCCATGCAAGCTGTGGGGCCAGTCGCCTTACCAAGAAGTTTTTTCTGTCAGCTCTCTTCTTCTTGAGAAGATATCCATCCGCTATGATTGCGGATACCATGATCTAGAGGCAGCGTTTCGCCTTCCCAAAGCCAATCGAAGCGCAAACGACGTAACGGAAATTCTTAATACTAGTATCGTGCTACGAGATTACATATAATTGTACCCAACGTGTGTACCACATTGCTGAATTCTATGGCTTAGGTGTGTTCGTGGGGCCAAAACATCCAAGTTGATGGTAAATGTACGGTTGCCCAACACGACTAAATACATAGAGCTATATGAGCTATCAGAGCTATAAACTAATACTGCTTACCTATTATATTCGTGCACAACTGTGTCGGGCAGGCTTTCCTAGCACACGTATCCCGCCATGGCATATCGATTGCTTCAAGTCGCCGCAAGTTCTACAGCCACGATGTTTGTAATTACCAAAACAATCAATTGCAGAATTTTAAGCTGTGTGTTAGCTAATGAAACACGTTTGCATGGTTTCTAACACCAATCGACCCGTGGGCCCGAAGGATTCCTTAACGCACCGTTAGATATTTGGCCATTTTCTTCAAGTCTAAGATGTAAGCATGTCCAGGAAGGAATTTTACGCTGTGCAATTAAGCTGGTGCTTTTCCCTTTTCTGTTGAGCGCTCCCTAGTGCTCACGGTTCTAGCATGTCGTGGTTTCCAACAGTAAGCCCATCAGCCGCGTCTGCGCAGTGCCAAACATATATCTTTGCGACTTCTCTCCAGTAGAACCTTGCACAATCAACATCCTGGAGAATTGATACTGTGTTGCGGCACGCCTTGTGTCATGTCCTGCCAAGCTTTGCTACTTCATGAAAGCGATTGACCTGCTCATTGACCCAAAATGTAGGGATTTTTAACGATATAGACATACTGTTACATAGGGGCGGTAAGGTGTTCCCGCACCTCCCAAAACTTCCACCCAGCGCTTCCCGAGCCGCCGACCCAACTAATCACTGTAGTGTTACCCGCAACATGGGAAGTACAAAACAAAGCAAAACGCACTTGCCTGTCATTTCCACCTGTCGATATCTTTCCATTGTTTCGCCTCTCTTTCCTCCCGCTGCCGCCGTCTAGGTTGACAACACGCAAAAACCAAAACACACAAGACGCATAACTCTTCCGTACCGGCCTTCGTTCATCCCGGCTGTTACTCCTCCTTCCCCCAGCAAAAGATAGCAGGAACAAAACCCTATATACTACAACTACGAACTACCAGCCAACACTTCAACTGTCGTACATACGTCAAGCAAAGCCGTGCTTGCGCGTGTCGACACCAGTTCTACCCTACACACGCACCCACCAAGTGCCCCTGAAATCTCAAGCACATCCCTCGCCCGGCAGCGAACCCCCCGAACTCCATTGTACCAGCATTGTACGAGCACACGCCGTTTCCGCCAACCAAAAACACTCTTACATGGGATACCTGTTCATTTGCTGTGTGGCTGTCGCGGATGCCGAAGACACTCGGATGCCGAAGCCCGTTTACAGCTTTCCAACCCCCCTCTCACCTCCACGCACCCCCCCATGAACTCCCTGACAGCTCTTTGCCCACCCGCCCAAGGTCCCACCGATCGAGTCCATATCAGAGGTCCGTGTACGACACGGTCGTTGTGTGCCAACGACCAATTCAACAAGGCACATTTCAACAACACTACAACGCATCATTACACCATTAATCAGAATACAAAACGAAGGCCGAAGGAACAATATAGCTTTTCATCCCTATTATCGTATTGTATATGTCGTTTTCACTCCTCCCGCCCATATCCCTGGTGGCGCCAATCCGTCCGTTCTTTGTTCAGGGCTCATCTTGCTCTCTCTCTGTGGGAATGTGTGCCTCTCTCTATCTCTCTCATTTACCTTCTGCAGGAGGACCGGTTCAGGGAGGGTTCGGCAACGAGCGGACTGGGAGGCGGCCCACCAGGTCGAGGTAGGCGGTAGGGGACCCCCCTCTCTCTCTCCTTCTCTCCCTCTAATCTCCCACCCTCTCCCTATTGAACTCCCTCTCGCTCACTTCTTGGTGGGGCAGGTGCTCTCAAAGTACAAAGTGTAGGGCTTGCCGATTTGCTTGCAGCCGCGCTCGAAGAACTTGTTCACTGCGGGGCGCGAGGCGGCGTGAGGGCAGAGGAACCCATCCGGGACGTGGGCACACGAGGCCGAGGCCGAGGCCGGGAGAGGGCGGTGCGGTGCGGTGCGGGACTTAAAGCGGGTGAGAGTGAGCTGGGTCAAGTGATAGTGGGTGAGTGGTATCAAATCGGGTGATTATTCCTGACCACACAACGCAACCAAACTCCAGCCAAAATTGCGACAGCCAGCCAGCCAGTCCTCTCCCCCTCCCCCGCCCTCAAGGCCGGGAGCAACAGCAAGAAGAAACGCGCCGTATTCATTCGCTATGTGTGGATCTTTCCGTACTGCTCTGTGCCACCTAAGTACTTACGGACGCGGTACTGGTTCATGTCGTCGTTTGTGAAGGACAGCACCAGATCCAGGACCGCGGAGGAGCAGGAGCAGTACTGCCGGAAGGCGGGGGAGATGGGAGAGGAAGGGGAGATAGAGATGGTGGAGTGGAAGGGGAGATAGAGATGGTGGAGAGGAAGGGGAGATGCTCTGTTTTGTTGCGTCCCCCTGCTTCGACCGGCCTGGGGTTCGTACAAAAGACAATACGACATCTTGCAATACTACGTTGTCGTACCTTGTTGTTGAATTTGGAGGTAGCTTCGCAGCACTGGGCAGAGGGCGGTGTCGCTGTCTTCAGGAACTCCTCCAACCGCTTGGCGTCAATCTGCAAACAAACGTTTGCGCGGCTAGTCTAAGTTTGTTTTTAGGAAGTGTGAAGTACTGTTGGTGATGTTATACAGATGCTGGCTGCTGCCAACAGGAAAGCTTGTTAAGTGTTAAAATTTTAGTAAGCACCGCTGGTCTGTTGGCGGTTGGTCGTTAAAGCTCTAACCCTAAAAAGGGCTCCCGTGAGCCGCACAAGGCGCTCGTCCCAACCGCTCAGCCGCTGCATAAAGCATTCCGGGGTGAACAAACGACCAGCTCGTATGGTCGCATGGCGCAGTATATGTACGATGTACGGCGTACGACGGTGCTGCTGTACAACCTACCCGTACAGAGTTGGGGTCGCTGCTGGCCTTGGCCGGATCAATGCCCATGGCGGTTAAACCCAGATTGAACTCGTCCGTACATTTGTTCTGCGGATGTCGTTTTATGGAGGGAGGATGAGAGGGACATACATACATACATCAGGCGGGAGGTATAAGCCATGGTGGACGGAGGAACACACAGACATGCACAATTTTATTACGCACCATGCGGGGCCATATGCACAGCACTCGGCCCCCAAGCCCCCCAAGTGCTACTCTTTGCAACGCAACCCTAACCCTGGCCGCATGAAAGCAAAGCTCAGCAAAGCTCAGCAAAGCTCAGCAAAGCTCAGCAAAGCTCAGCTCAGGTCAGTCGGCCGCATCCCACCCAGTGCTACGCGAAGGTGGTCGCTATCACCTATCGCGAATTGGAACGCAACGACGTTTTTGCATCCAGGCTCTCAAGGACCACCTAGCCCTGTGGCGCCCAGTTATTCAACTCAACAATATACAAAATTCAACTCAATGTGTTCAACATTGCTGCGCGAGCACACGCACACGCACACGCACACGCACACGCACACGCGCACGCACACGCGCACGCACACGCACACGCACACGCACACGCACACGCACACGCACACGCACACGCACACGCACACGCACACGCACACGCACACGCACACGCACACGCACACGCACACGCACACGCACACGCACACGCACACGCACACGCACACGCACACGCACACGCACACGCACACGCACACGCACACGCACACGCACACGCACACGCACACGCACACGCACACGCACACGCACACGCACACGCACACGCACACGCACACGCACACGCACACGCACACGCACACGCACACGCACACGCACACGCACACGCACACGCACACGCACACGCACACGCACACGCACACGCACACGCACACGCACACGCACACGCACACGCACACGCACACGCACACGCACACGCACACGCACACGCACACGCACACGCACACGCACACGCACATGCACACGCACACGCACACGCACACGCACACGCACGCACACGCACGCACACGCACGCACACGCACGCACTCTTACCGCACACGCACACGCACACGCACACGCACACGCACACGCACGCACTCTATCGCCCGCCAACGCGGATGCACACCGTCTCTCCACGCATTTCCCCACCTGGGGCATTGACCCCCATCAGCTACCTGCAGGTCGAGCCCGGCGTCCATGCACTCCGGCGGTACGGCAGGGCTGCCGTCGTTGCCGCCGCCTCCGTTACCCATGCGCCGCGGCTGGGCGACGATGCCTGTAGCGAGGACTAGCGCCGCCGCCACCGCCGCCACCAGGCGCCGTCGCATAGAGGCGCGTAACACCCCAGCCAGCCTGACACCTCCGGCGGCGGCGGCGGATGCCGAGGCGGCGCTGCCGTTACTGCTGCCCATCCTAACGGCCTTGTAAGGGGAGTGTGATGGGAATTAAGTTAGTATGTATAGCTGCCCCTTGTCAACGCCGTACTGTTGCTGTTGCTGCTGCTGCTGCTGTTGTTACTGTGCTATTGATAAGGCGATAAGGCGTGCAATGTAGGTAAAGTTAGTTGTGGCACCTAGGCCAAACTGGTAATGAACAGCGAGGGATTGAAACAACAAAACGCACTCAGCACATATACAGCAGCAATGTGATACTTGTATTACTTTGATGTAGGAGAACGAATAACCACGGATTGCAGGTATGTGTGTGGGGTGTTGGAATGGAGAATATAAGGTGGCACGGATGTTGAGGAACAGCAGCCCTGTAACGCTCACTTTGGAACCGAAGGCCTCAGCGCGATGCGGTACAGTGCGATGTACGGCAGTTCGGGATTTACGTGAGGAAGCTGTGCGATACTGCTGCTGGTGACGGGCTGTCACTGAGCTGAGCGCGCCTAGGAGATCGAAAACGTCTGGTCGGCGTGAGGGAAAATCGTCTGATTGGCTGTACGAAGCGCCTGGGAAAAGATGAGGCGGAAGATGCAATTACGGAGGCGATGCGAATGGTTTGATGCTCGGGCAGCCCGCTTTATAGGTTTTATTGTTAGGCAGGACTTTTTCAAGGATTTCGAAATTAATAACGTTATGCGGTATCCATCTTTTTGTTATGTCTATCTATCGCATTTTAAAAATTGAAGCTGTCTATTTTTTTCTGTCAGCTTGTCAAGGGAGACAGAAATCAAGCGGGCGGGCGGAAATACGCGGCTGAGCGGCGCAGATTTTTTTTCTGATTTTCTGATTTTCGACGGCCGGAGAGGGACGGTCACTCTTCACTTGACAAATGGAGACAGACCTCAATCAACCATATCAATAAATTGATTAGTTGGTTCCAAACCTATCTAATCTCTCTCTACATATAATCTTGTCCTCTGCGATTAAATTAAAACCGCCCTGGCAGCGATGCCACCAAGCAGCGAACCTGACCAAACCCAATCCGAACGGCCTGCAATGTATGACGCCGTTAAAGCCTCCACAGCTGGCTAACCAGGACAGCTTCCTGGCCCCGCCCCGCTGATCGGCTTGGCGGCCCTACATACTCCGACTCCCATGCCCCGAAAAAGACATATTTAAGTTGGACCAGCGGCCGGCCGTGACACGTACTCTTAGGCTCTAAAACCCCGGGCGGTCCAGGCTGTGTGTGTATGACGGGATGCCGGCGTTTAGCTTACCGAGGGTAACGGATGACACATGCCCCCGCACGCGGGCCCACATCGTGGAGGCCCCGACCCCCCAGCTGAATCCCCTCGCGTGTCTCGCTAAACCTCCACCACGCATGAGCTTCAATTGAGATGCTGCAGAAACTCCCAACTTCAATGTACGGCACATGCGTCTCACATTTATACGACTCCGGGGGCGGAAAGACCAAGAAGGGCAGAGCTTGTCGGACATACAGACGAACTAAACCGTTGCCACAGCAGCAGCAATAGCAGCAACAGTAGAAAAAACCGTAGCGTTGCTGGCTTCCATTAGTAATTTTAACCATTTCCCACGAGCTGCCACCGCATTAGTAGCTTCTAATATATAATATAGCTATGTTCTGGCGCCTTGAACTACCTTCTGTTTCTTGTTTGGGTTGCCACCCTGCTTGCAACTTTGCCATTAGTTGCCATTCCTGGCCATTCGTTGGATACAGTCAGCCAGTAATTACTTGAAAGTACTTGCGTAATCTGGCGGGTTGCTGCTGCAAGGTGATGACAAAGCAACGATCGCGTCTAGAAGCGAGTACGGACGGAAGCCGGGAGGTTTCGCCGCCGGTCGGGAAACGCGACTGCGGCAACAGCAGGGGTAGCAGTAGCAGCTGGCAAGTCATGCAAAGCTCGCTGTAACTTCTGTTTTTTTTTTGGCAAGACTGCACTGCTTTTTACTCCGATTAAACGATTAAACCGCCAACCAATTGACGAGGTCAACTAACCAACTCACGCGGTCAACGAAAGCGAAAACGACACCCCGCCAAGCGTCAAGTTCTTCCCTTCGCCACGATTTCAGCCTAGTTTTTCAACCATCACAGCTAGTGCGTTCCACCTCGTCGCGGTGAAGGTGTTTCCCGCTGCGCCTCTCCATATCTCTCTGAAAACGCCAACGTACAGACATGTACGAACATTCGCGTCACACGCCCGTGACACTCCCTAGAAATACACACACACGTATTATACACCCGCACCAAGCACGCGCCGGCCGATCCACCACTACCGCTGCGGGCTACAAGCGCAAGACACACATACATACACACACACTCACATACGCGGACGAGGCGCCGCGCATAACGCGGAAAGTCTGAGTGCTCTCTCCCGTTGAAATGTCTCCCATGTAAAAAGAGCAAGTTAATACCAACATCAACACAAGCGCCAATCCTACACAACGATACGCAAAGCAAGACGCGCTGACCAACATAAGTAGCTTTACAACAATTATCACTGTTATTAGAATATGGGAATCAGCAGCAGTTCAGCCAACCGTTATTAAGCCAACCGCTTAACGCGTGTCGCAAGCGTGCGCCGCTGCTGCTGCGCCTCCTTTGCCGTACACAAGTCGTACACATACCAGGCCACTCCGCAAATAAACGCACAGTCCTTGTTTGTCCAATTATCCGCCTTTGGGCTTTGGGCAGGTCTTTCGGTAGTAGAGGGTGAAGGGCTTGCCCACCAGCTTGCAGCGCGCAGCAAGGTACTTCACGACTACGTGCACACAAGTACGTGTGCAGGAAAGGCGGGAAGAAGAAGAAGAAGAAGAAGAAGAGTTAAGAAGATATGGGAGTTTAGGAATTCGGCGAGGGAGGACCTCGGTGCACATTCGTTGGGCGAGCAAACACACACCCAACCAAATGGATGCAGGAAGGCACCAGCGCCGTTAGCCGCTGGTTCTCAGCAGCTTCTCATGCAGCCTCTGTTGAGCTGCTGGGTGTGCTGAGGTGCTGAAGGTCATTGAAGGGCCCGTAGTTAATACACCCCCACCTTCTGTGTATTGGTTGATGTCGTTGTTGGCGAAGGCCTTCACCAGCTCCAGCACCGGGGGGGAGCACGAGCAGTACTGCGCGTGCAATACAACACGGTTTCATGCAAACAACATCCAGATGACGCGATTGCGAACATCCAGACGAGCGGTGCAGACGCGTGCGTGCGTGATCGTGTAATGATGATACGTGCGCAGGGAAACGAAACGTGGGGTGTCCATCCATCCAGTCGTACATCCAGTCGTACATTGCGGCGTTCATCAACGTCTATCGGATATAGAGCTTTGCTTGCAGTTAAAATGACGAAAGCCAACCGCCAACTACCAACTGCAATTCCTCCAAACGTCAGTGCCAACTGTCAACTGCCAACTGCACAGTGCAGCGCCAGGTGGGTGAGTTGGTTGTGTCAGGACCGCCGCCCACTACCAGAGTATCACAATACTACAGTAGGGCCCCCAATAGCAGTAGCAGTAGCAGTAGCAGTAGCAGTAGCAGTAGCAGTAGCACGCACCGCATTGTTGAACGCCTGTGCGGCCGCGCAACAATTGACCGAGGGGTTGGGGGCCTTGGCCAGGTAGGACCTCATCTTGGGAAGATCCACCTGGCGGCCGCATCGCGTGTGCGGTGTTGGACTTGTTGCGCAGTGGCAGTGGCAGTGGCAGTGGCAGTGGCAGTGGCAGTGGCAGTGGCAGTGGCAGTGGCAGTGGCAGTGGCAGTGGCAGTGGCAGTGGCAGTGGCAGTGGCAGTGGCAGTGGCAGTGGCAGTGGCAGTGGCAGTGGCAGTGGCAGTGGTGCGCGAACAATCCCAACCTTAATGGCCGTGACGTCGGATGTGGGGCTGAGACCGAAGGCCTTGGACGCCAGCTCCAGCTCATCGTCACACGCGGACTACCCGGGGGACGGGGGAGGGGGGAGGGGCATCAGGTTTGTACGTCGCAGCTGGAGCTGGAGAAGATGGACGCATACAGCCAGTGGGCATGACAGGGGGAGGACAGGGGAAAGTAGTGGTACGATGGCAGAATGCGGGACAAACGGACAGATGGACAGACAGTCAGACAGACGGTCAGACAGACGGAACGTCAGACACACATACAGACATACAGACATACGGGCACAGACAGACAGACAGACTGACAGACCTGCAGCGCAAGACCCGTGCTGATGCACTCCGAGGGCACTGGTGTAGACGAGTTCGAAGAAGTCTGGCGAAGGCCCCGGAGGCCCGGAGGGACAGGGAGGGCACCGGGGTCGCGACCTGCGCCAGGAGGCTGCTGCTGCTGCTGCTGCTGGGCTGCTGTTGCTGCTACTGCCCCCACCGCTGGTTCTGCTGTTGCTGTCAAAGCGAGGGCTAACAGCGCCAGGGCTGCTACTGCCGCCGCGGCCATGTTACCCCACCGCATTTGCGACGAGGCGGTTCCCCCCCTGGAGGAGCACACTTACTTCGGGCACGTAAGCTTATGCCGTAAGCAAACTGCTAAATGTGCGCTGGGTGGGAGGAAGGATATTCGAATCGGCCGGCCGGTTGGTCGTACAACGAGCAATGCGACCTTGAAGGTGGCGGCGATGAAGGTGACGCCGAGCAGCGGATTTCCCCCTCAGCACCGGCACCGGCACCAGCCTGCGGGAAACAGAAGTTTTCGCAAGACGGCTGATATTGGAAGCGGTAGTTGTGGTGGCAGTGATGGCTGGCGTTAGTGGCGGTGGTGGCGGTGGTGGCGGTGGTGGTGCGGCTAGTGCTGGTGGCGGTGGTGGCGGCTCCGCCAGGATTCGCAAATGTATGGGGGTTCTGTATGACGACATACATAGCGGGGCAAAGGGAGGGCAGGCTGAATTGAACGAAAAAACTACTCAGCAGCCGCCGCCGCAGCGGCAGCAGCAGCTGCTGTAGCGATGAATGACTTTCTGTTTAAGAGCAACAGTCAGGCGTAGCTCGGCAATGGTCAACGGCTGCAGTCAAAGGATGGACAAATAATTATGATAAAAGATTATGAAGAGGAATATAGGAGGGAGACTGGATGCAAAAGTCAAGACGGCGGCTAGCGCTTTGCAAATTTTCTTCCCGATTGGAAGATAATAAATACATCGGACACCTTTTTGCGCAATGTGGACGGCGTGTTTTGTTTACGCCGACAGCAGCCAACCACGCAGGCCGACCCTTACCCGTATGATAACGTCGCGAAGCTCTCTCTCTCTTCCTCTTTTATGATTGACTCAAATACAAACGCTCACACATATACAAACAAGCACACTACATAATGAACCTTTAATTTTCCCCTGGTCCTCTTGTAATTCGGCTCGACTCTGGAGAATTGCATTCCCTTTCCCTTCTCTCGTACTTGGGTTCGTCACATCACATATGCAATTTGTTGCGAAAGCAGTCCTTGGACACCACATGCACCGTCCATGCTGTGCGGCCATTGATCGATATGAAACGGAAACGGAAAGTTTTCTTGCGTCAGGTCGTCAGGTCGCCGCCACAAAAGAACCTTAGGTGCATGGCGATGAGAAATTCGCTTTAGGATTTGGTTGACCGATCATGATACATCATGGATATGGGGGTGTGGTTTTTTATATTATGCCAATTGTTTTATCGTACTACATTTTTCGGCTCGCTGCAAGCACTGAAGGCGCGCACCATGGCTGCTTATTTGCCTTTATCGTTGTCTTTCACCATTTTGCCAGTCAGAGGGTCCGGGAGGTACCCGCCGCGCTGCGTCCATTGGACTGGTAAAGGAGCGGTCCTACATCTTCGTCTGCTGTGGATGGCCGTCTGCGGTAGCCACCTTGCTCCAGCAGGCGCTCGGTAAGTCCTATTGGGCAACAGGGACCTCCGGAGCGAGCTATGACGACCCAGTGGCCTCGCATCAGCTGGTCCGTCTTCGCGCGGGAAATGAAAATCGCCATGTGGGATGCCGAAATTGATTAACCCAAAAAGAAAAAACCTCATGCACACATATCTCTGCGGCATCGTCGAACCGGAAGAAACCGGCGAACATGAGATAGCTACCGCTGCCACCATCATTAAATAGTCTAAACGCGCCTCGGGGCCGTCCACTAAGCGGGCCAGCGCCACGATTTCTTTCCGGCTCCAAGTCATCACGCTGCAGCGGTTTATCACCATGGAGCCGCTTTTCCGCTAAAGTGCGGACAATGCCGCACGCTGAGTGGCCTGTGGGGGTCGCTTTTCCCGCCATGCGGAAATAGGTGCTGATGGCCGCACTTGTGAGGCGGACGCGGCCAGGCCCAACACCGTCGGCCTGGGACGTGTTGAGCAGGGGGACAATAGATAGAGGGCTACCAGCTCTCCCGGGGTGGAATAGATGTTTTACCCGGAAGGTTGTGTGTGTGCCTCCCACCTGCTGCGGAACTGGCGCCGGAACATGGCGGCGTGTACTCCTTAGTGGTCCCCCCTGGCCGCCAGTGATTCGGGTGCCTCCTGTGCCAGTTGCGTGACGAGGGCTTGGAGGTCAGCGGTGGCGGCTTCGACCCCCAGGGGGCCCAACAAGGCCCCTGCGCGTGCAGCTAGATCTGCGGGAGGCGGGCGACCGGGTTAGCGGGGACGCGGACGCGTGTTTTGCTGGGGCCAGGGAAATCTATGTATGAGAGACGCCAGGGCGGCCCAGTATGCCGCCGCGCCTTTGGGGGTCGTGTTGCCGTCGCAGGAGCTCGGCAGGAGCAGGTCCACAGCCCGACCTAACAGCTCGACTCCGTGAACAAAGGATTCAAACCAGGCGCCGTTTGTGTGGTGATCCTGGCCCACCAGTCCCTGGTCGGCCAGTACAGTGCGATCAGGCACATGTGGGCCTTGCAAGCCTCGGCATGCTGGAGCACCGTGAGCATCATGCTGAAAGGCGGGTTAGCCCAGTAGACATTTCGCCCCCATGTGGTGCGGAAAGCATCTACCCTTGCGGTATCCGGCGTGAAGAACCTTGACTAGTACACGGGAAGCTGTCGGTTGATATGCGATGCGAACAAGTCTATGTCGAAAGGCCCAAATTTGGAGTTTAGCAAACGAAAAACGGCGGGTTGGAGCATCCAGTCATCGGTGTCCCTCAGTTTCGACAGGAATTCGGCAAGCCTGTTTTCTTCTCGGGGCCGCCACTCGGGGCCGGCAAACGGATGTCCTGCTCGAAAACAGAATTCATGCAGCTCGCACGCCACCGCGTAGAAGTTCTTGTCAGCTTTCACTGAACCTTTGTTAACGATGTTTGCGGTGTTGAGGTTACCTGTCAGCACCTTGACTGCCCGACCGGATAAACCTGCGGGGCTATTGAAGGATGACTGGATTGCTAGGAGAATCGCGCGGAGCTCCTCTGCAGTGTGGATCCCATCTCACTATCTTTGGGCCGCCAGCCCCCTCGGGCCACGACGGGCTCGTCGTCCAGGACCCTCCAGGCGCCCCAGCCGCCTAGGGAAGCTGCAGACTTGCCGGCCACGTCGCAAAAGATCAGAGAGTGCAGACCTGGGTGGGAACCCATAGATGACGGCGGCCGTTGAATTTATCGAAGGACTTTTGCCAGAATTCTAGCTCCCCTCACGTGCAGCTGGGGACAGAGGGAGCTGGGACCCCCACGTTATTCGTGACTCGATGAGCTTGCCCAGCGCACGGGTTCGCAGCCGTGGCCAAGGTCCAACGGCCCAAGACATCGAGAGAATCTGCCGTTTGATCATCAATCGCTTCTATGATAGAAGCGAGGGCCTTCGCAGGTACCTTATGGCCACTGAGGGTCAGGCAAATTGCGGTAAGAAGTTTGTCCCTCTTATCCTCAGGAACGATAAAAACCCCTTCAGCAGTGTCGATGAGCATTCTCAAGTAACGGATTGTTTGCTGAACTGCGCCCAGCATGGAGTTTTTCCTGATTGATTATGAAATCGAGGGCTCCGAGCCGCGCCACCACCACAGCCCTCCGTGCTACCAGCCGGTCTGCAGCCTGGTCGGCGTGGGCTTGGTCGTCGATGTAGCCAGTGCAGCGCCATCCGCGTTCACACCAGGGACGCATGACCTCATGCTTGAGCTTGGTAGAAGCCCAGCACGCGGACGCTAGGCCGAAAGGTAGCTGGGTGAAAACGTAAAACACGCCTCACCAACAAAATCCCAGGTATTCCCAAAAGGATGGGTCGATGTCTAGATGCTGAGGGTTACTCTGGGGGTTTTCCTTGGTAACCACCTCACAAAATATTTTTTCCCCAGCGAGTATGCTGAACAGGAGCTCACTAGAACCATGCATCCGAAGATCGAACTTCGACTCTATGTACAGCAACGTGTTCCCGAGCCGAGCACAGTGAAGCATCACTGCGTCCAAGCATCCAAGCGTCAAAAAATTTCTTTAAGTGGCGACCACCTGGTTACTGGCAGGTGACTCAAAACATTTCCTGGTGACCACCACCTTCTGGAAGGGAATTATTTTCTCAGCAACCATTTGGTCACTAGTAACCACTTTTCAAAACACTGGTCACCGCGATCATCCCAAATTTCCAGGCAGCCGGCAAGCCACCACCAGCAGCCAACCCCAAACCATCACGACGCCGTCGCGCATTGCCCCCGGCGGTCCCTTATTTCTAAATTATACATCGGCACAGACATCGATCGGCAAACGCTTCGGGGATATTCCTGCAGTGCCGAGGCTCCCGAAACAAAAGCTCGGTTGCGTCCCCGAACGCAGTACTTTGCGGAATGAGGACCACCCGAACTGTCAATTTGCTCACACAGGGCCCCAAACGGCCGCGAACGGAAAGCCTGCAGCGCAGAATCTGACCCCTGATCTGAAACCTTACGATATATCCTTTAATAAAAAGAGGACTATGCGTTTTTTGGCAACCTGCAGAAATAGGTCCTCTTTAATATAAGTTTAATTCCTTCAAGAAACCGCAAATAGACGCTGGCGCCGATGTCTGCACCGGCGCTCCTAATAACCATGAGAACATGTTAGGAACTAACGACCTAACGACCTAACAAACTACCCGTCACCTTCCCCAGCCCGACCACCTCACTTCCAAGTCTCAAGTATTGCGCCCCCGCAACACCATCTCCCTCCACCACCACAGCGCAACTTTCCCTTCCCGCCCCCTTCCTCCCTCCATGCCGCCCGCCTCGCCGTCAACCCCAACCCCCATCCCCGTCGCCCCCCTCAGCTACACCGCAACGCAGCCAACGCCGCCGCCGCGGCCATCGCTGCATCGTCCTCCTCAGTATCCTCACGTTCCGCCTTCCCTTGCGACCGCATACCGTAGTCATCATTGCCATCGCCGCAGTTACCGTAACCGTAACCGCCATCATCATCATCATCATCATCAGCAGCAGCAGCAGCAGCAGCAGCGTGCTGCTGCTGCTCCGCCCCCACCGTGGACGTGCCCGCCTGGTGCTGCTGCTGTCCCCCTTGTTGCGTTCCCTGCTGCTGCTGCTGCTGGGTGAAGCCGGAGGTTTGTGGTTTCCGCTTCCTCGCGGGTATGGCCGCATCCAGTGCCCGCACCCAGTCACCTGAGCACACATACATACATACATACATACATACATACATACATACATACATACATACATGCATACATACATACATACATACATACATACATACACGGGCATATACATCCCTCCGGTGATATGAGGAGACAGATATACATACATACATACATACACGGGCATATACATCCCTCCGGTGATATGATGAGACAGATATACAGACAGACAGACAGACAGACAGACACATGCCCCTGTTGGTTAATTTTTAAGGTTCCTTCCTCGGCCCCACAAGCCCCCCACTCCCCTCCCTTTAGGGGACTCAGCAGCAGCGGATGTAGCAACAGCAGCATTCCACATTTCCCACCAATCCCCTTTTCCCCTTCATCCGCCCTTACGTGTGTCTTGGTAAATGAGCAGCGCCCGAACCACATCATCGATATTTAAGACTGGACTGCGCGTGTGTGTGTGTGTGTGTTGGGGGGTTGGAGGGGAAATAGGTTAAGGGTGGTGTATGTTGAAGGTCGATATGTATATCTGTGTGAGGTATGGCAGAGGTTGGGGGTTGAAGGTGGGAAGGCTTGGGCAGGTGTACGGGACCGGGGGAAGCGGGGGAATTCATCCAGGCTCCTCACTGACTTCCACATCACCACGATGACCTGCGATGCCCCCCCTAGGGCCCTTCTCTCCGTCTAACCCCCCGCTAACGGCCCGCTAACCCCTACCCCTCGATCACGGGGGGGGGGAAACGGTAGACTCACCACTTCCGGGTTCCCTTGCCCAGCCCCAGCTGTACGGCATGCTCTGATATGGGCAGTCGTACAGCCGTCACCCGCTGGGCCTCCTGGGGGCGATGAGAGGTGTGCGGTGTGAGGGCAGCAAGCGGGTTTTGTGTTGGGTGTGGTGGATTGCAAAGTGGTACATCGCCCTTGATGACGTGGATGGGGTGATGGGGTGATGTGCGGGGTGCAATGTGTTTTGGGTCTAGTTTGGGGATCACGTCATGACAATCGATGCAAAGAACAAACAAAGAGTCAACTGCGGACATTTGAAGTACCATGGGGGGTGCATGGTGGTGTATTCCTTGTGTACGGCCTTGTGTACGGCCTTACATAAGAGTTGAGGGGGCTCGGGGGGGTTGAAGAGGGACAGGAATGGCCCTACTTTGCCCCCTTCCCCGCTCCCTCCCCATCCCCCTTCCCCGCTCCCTCCTCAGCTCCCCCTCCCTCCCTCATTCCCACCGCGTATTTAAGCGTGAGCCCTTTGCGATGTGTTCGATCCACAATCCCCCCGATGACGTACACTCGGTGTTCCGGATCCAGATCCAACAGGGGCTCGGAGGCGTCAGGACTTAAAACCACTACCTAGAAAAAGCAGGGAGGGGGGTGGGGGTGGGGGCCGCGTCGGAAGCGGTGGAAGCGGCCCCGGGGCCGGGGGGGGGCGACCCAGCGTGTTTACGGAAAGAGGGCGGGTTGGTGACGGAGGGGGCCATCTGGACAATACCCGGGCAGCTGGGGGGGGAGAGATGGACAGAAACAGAAAAAGGTCGACTGCCGATACGTCCAATCGCGCCAAGCAGGCGTCCGAAGCGGGGACGGGGGGATATCGAGAGAGGGGGTTGTGGAGAGCAGCACTGCCATACCTATAGTAGCTCTCTTCCCCTACCTTCCCCCCTCCCTCCCTCCCCCTCTCCCTCCCCCTCCTTCCTCACCGCCTCCGCCCCAAACGCCTCCACGGGCCCCTCCGCCCTCTTGACCACCCTCCACCCCGCCGCCCCGCTAGGCGCCGCCACAGCCGCCAGGGGCTCACCCCAGCTGGTGAGGGTGAGGCAGGCGGGGCGGGGGTGCCGCTTGTTGAGGGAGGAGGCGTTCTCGATCTGCTTGCACAGACTGCGGAGCTGTACATGTGTGCGTGTGTGTATGTGTGTATGTTGTACACGTGTGTGGTGTGTTTGGGTGTGCGTATGTGCGTCCGAGGCCGTGCCCAGGTATAAGGTTGCAGAGGGCAGGGAGGGGAGGGCGGGGAGGGAGGAGGGGGAAAATTACACACAAAGCCGAGTGAAAGGAAAGCAACAGCCGGAATTCAAAGCGCGGAAGCGGCGGGGGGAGGGGAGGGTAAGACGAACCACTGGCGAATGGAGCAGATACCAAAGACGGGTAGTCCAGGAGAAGATAAATGTTGACAAGATAATTTACTGACCACTGATGTCATCTGCGTAATCTTGGCGGCGATGTGGCCATAGCTGTGGTTGCGAGACCGATCACTGATTAGCTGGCAAGTCCAAAGTCCAAAGAAGGCAGAAGGCGAGAAACGCCGAAAAACTACCAAGTCGCCTATAGATGAAAGGAAAATCGTGTGCAAGCAGAAAGAAAGAGAACAGAAGCCGTGGAGGTGATGGATGATGGATGAAGGAGGGGGGAAAGACCCGCGGGGTGAGGAGGGGTACTGCAGTGCCAACAGGCGCGACAACAGGCAAAACGGTGTGTGTGTGCACATGCACGTATGTGGAATTGTGACGTAAGGGTCACATATAGCTTCACAGCGGGCCAACGACCTGGCAGCCCCTACTCCGTCTTAAACAGTATCATCATCATCATAAGGTTTTCCACTTCCCCTTCTCTCCCCCGTTTTCAGCCTCTTCCCTTCCCTTCCCTTCCCTTCCCTTCCCTTCCCTTCCCTTCCCTTCCCTTCCCTTCCCTTCCCTTCCCTTCCCTTCCCTTCCCTTCCCTTCCCTTCCCTTCCCTTCCCTTCCCTTCCCTTCCCTTCCCTCTTGCATCAACACATGATTCCCCCTCCCTACCACTCCTAGCCCTCCCTCCCCCTCCCTCTCCCCATTCTCGCCAAGCGCACCTCCTTAGGCGGCGCATCCGGCGAGAAGGAGCAGTCAATGATCAACCGCAACGTGGGGGCGCCGTCCCCAGGGCGCCGGCATTCGCCCGGGCCGTCGCTTGCCAACGCCGCCGCCACCCGCTCAGCTTGGGCCGCCGCCGCCGCCTTCCGCTGCTGCTGCTCCGCCTGCTGTACGGCACGTAGCTCTGAGAGCTGCTGCGGGTCGAGGGAGGACTCTAGGGCCTCCTGGGCGACCCTGGGAAGGGGCGTACGGCAGATACGGGGGGAGGAAATCTGTATGTATGTGCGTATGTGATATGTGCATATGTGGTTGTTAGGGGAGGAGGGGAACTGAGGACGGTGTCTGAGGACATGGGTGCCCCTAGTGGTGTGGGTTTTACTGTTGGTGGTCGCTCGTCTGAGTGGGGGGTTGCAAAAGCAGTTCCTGCATTGCAGAGGATATACCTTCAAACAACAAGAGCATAATACAGAAAGTGCAAATGAAAGTGCACAAATTGGTCTTGACGCACTAAGACGCGTTATGCGGGCCGGTAGGTAGACCCGGGTGAGGTGCACCAGCCGCCCGCGACTTGAGCTGTTCCACTGCGAAGGGGGTCGGGGGGGGAGCCCGTTGGCGCTCGAAAGCATCGCTGGATTTGACAAGCCGTGGGGGGGACAGGAGGTGTCGGAGAAACGACATGTACACAGACGCACACACAGGAGTGGTTAGTTGGGCCGCCGTCGTCCAACGGCAGATTCCGTTGGATGCCGGTGATGGGTGCGGAACCTGAGCGATCATCCACTGAGAAGTCGACGAAGGTGATGACTAGATGAGGGTGTGCCCCGAAATACCCGCTGGGAAGGCAGGGTTTCGCAGGGAAGCGGCCGCAGGGGTGAGAAGATATGAGCCCCCTGTCCCACAAATCATACAGATGCTCAGACTTGCAGACGCAGGATGATGTCGGACCAAATTGTACAGACCAGAGCTGCCAGAGACCAGCGCACCGCCTCCTGTTCGCTGAATTGTCGCGGCTGCCCCACCACAGTACCATATTTTCATCAAGCAGATTGTGTGAGAGGTTTTGGAACCGTGTCCGTTTACAGCGTGGGTCTTTGTGGCACACCACAACGGTAAGCAACCGGGATATCCACTTTTGGCGAAACATATTATGAGCATATTGGATGGGTCTGGCGGCTGAGCAAAAGCGGGCAGGAAGGAGGTGGTTTAACCCGCATATCACAATGTTTTTATCCCGCGCTCGGCGAATCGCAAGCTTTTTTGCAGGTTAGGATTTGCTGTTGGGCGTTGGCTGCGAACAGAGCGCGCAAGGGATGGCGATATGTACCTAGGGAGGAGCGGAGGGTATATGCCCCTGCTGCGGTACTGGAAGAGCCATATTGAAGATGAGAAGCACGTCTTCCTGGACTGTCCGGTGTACGGCAAAATCAAATAATATGACATGGATTTCCCACGCTTTTAGCATATGGAGGACACTATGAATCGGGAACCTGAACGCCTGGTGAAGATGCTGGAACGTATGTGGTCCCATCGCAACCCTACATCGTTCCCTTTGGTCGTTAAGTCTCCTTTATCACTTGGTTTGCTTGAAGTGCGAGGTAGGATGGTGCTTATAGGCGATCTGGCAGCCCTTGAGCCCTCGGCTCGTATTAGGGTGGTTTGCAGGTACGGGGAACGCACCCCCACGACCATGGAACACACGCACGCACACACATACACACACACGCACACACATGCACACACACAGACACACACACACGCACACACATGCACACACACAGACACACACACACGCACACACCCCATAACCTGAAGCTCTCATGTCGGTGTAGCGGAAGGAGGAGAAGGGTCAGATACGAGGGGAGGCAGAGCGAGAAGATGAAGGTAGATGAAACGGGGTTCACGATGTGGTGGCGGTACGGGCGAATGACACAGCAAACGTCGCACGGTCGACGTACTGCATCCGTCAGGTATCGATCGCGAGTCCCAAAGGTAGCTGCTGCCGCACTGTGGCGAAAAGAGAGAGAAAAATGACCTGCATCTTCTGCTATGGACGTTGTAGCTGATAATTTCTCTACTATGCCGCTTCCATTTCTGCTGCTGCCGCACCTGCACCTGCTGGAGGCGACGATTACGTAATGTTGTACGAAAGTTGCTAATGATGATCGCGATAGGCAGGTACCGTCGCATGATGATACCAGCGATAACAGCGGCGGCAATGCGCAGAGGAATGCATGGCGCCAATTGATGGGGGGGGAAGCTGCGAGAAGCAGCTGCAGTCGGCGACCGCACCTCTACCTTCGCCGGGGTTCGGATCTTGGCGCCCGTACCTAGCGGCCTCGACTCGCGCCTTGTGCGCAGCTTTAGCTTTCTCGCGCCGCCGCAAGTTGTTATACCGACGCCGCGCCTCCCAGGCCTCCTCGTTACCTTGCTTCGCACGCGGCTAGGGAGTAGAGTGAGAGCAGGAGCTCGGGTAAGTTGGGCCACATGGCAGTGGGGAATGGTGCAGCTCCTCATCGACGTGCATGAATAAATGCGGCTTAGCATTCCTAGGTATTTATTGACTAATCGACGCTGTGTTGCTGCTCACGAACCTAGGGATCTGATGTCACGACTCACGCGTACCCCCGGGTCCAATTTGCACGGGCAGGACGGGACAAAACACTACCTGACAAAAAGATGCCCCATCCAGTCCAGAGCTGTTTCTCGTCAAATGCAGGTTCTCAGCGTGAACCGCATGTGGCGCTTCGGAGAGCGCAGAGCCGCCATCGGAAGCCTTTTGACCGAGAATGTCTACAGAGTCGGAAATTTCTAGCATTATTCAGTAAAGCTAGTTTTAAGTATGGACTGGAATCTGATCAATCCTATTTGTTTGATGATACTGTTGGACCACAGCAGGTGCAGTGCGCATAATCATAATGGCACAGCGGAGTATTTTTGCGTCTATGGCAGCGAGATAGTGCAACTTAGGTAATCATAAAGCACAGTGGACAACGACACGTGTGTGACCAAGGTCACAGAGGCAATCGATTACGGCAGACTTCGACAAACAAGGGTGCAAAGGCAGATCCCCGACTTCAACTCCACTCCTCAAGCACCACTCCCAGCTGCCCCACCGCCACCTCCCCAACCATTCCAGAGCCCAACACCATCACCATGAACAACAACAGCCAGAGTCCTCCAAGGACAAAGCAAATCGCTGGTTTTGCCTGTAAAACTCGTTCTATGTCCGAAAAAGCACGTGTTGGTGCTGCTGGCAGCCCCCTATCCTCTCTCCTTCGCCTCTCCAAGGTCTTCCTTCCCCTCCTGCTCCTCCTGCCGCACCCACTCCCCGCCAAGCGACCCCCCCTTTCTGATTCGGACCTTGTGCTAATTCGGGGTTGCTGCACAGCCCGCTTAGAACTCGCTCATGCTACAGGCCGCGCCGCGCGAACACCGCCCACACCGACCAAACCCTCCTCCCCCTCCTCCTCCTCCTCCTCCTCCAGCTCTTCCCCCTCCTCCTCATCTTCCGCTCCTGGGGATCCTCAG